CAACCTAGTGATTCTATGATTAAAAAAAAAAAGTTAACCATTCTCTTTCTTACTTTTTTGTCCCTTGTTAGAACTTAGAGTGTTCTACACTGTATTTTTTCAGAAAAAACCCAAAATGCTCTTTCTGCTGCATCATTACAAAGCCACTGATTACATTTACTTTTTTCAGCACTGGAGAAGAGGGCAGGTCTCAAGCCTTGAGCTATTTGCAAATAAAAAGGGATGATTAAGACTTAGATATTAATCAGCGTGTGCTATAGGTATAGTCACACCTCTTTTTTGTTTTTGGTTTTTTTTTTTTTTTAACCCTAGAAGTCCCTGCCTACTTCTAAAATACAGGAGGAACTTAACATATTTTTACTCTCTTCATTACCAGGTTAATAGCTTCATCTGTGTAGTCATTTAAGTACAAAGTTTACCGGTGTGTTTAACTCCAAGGGAATCCTTGATGTTTATCAGTGGCTTTTCCATTTGTGTATAAATTTCTCATTAATTTAAGTATTTTTCCTGCGGTAGTGTTATGCTTTCAGAGCCCTGAGATTTCTCTTCAGTATGGAAAGGAATCGGCATATCTTTAAAAGGTATGTTAACAAAACGTTTTGTGAAACTTCTGTAGGACAGCCTTCAAAAGTCATCACTCCAGTCAGAAAGACGTTTTTAAAATGTCTTTTATTTTCAACAAGCAGAAATAGTAACGGGCCATTCCTCTCCTGTCCACAGCCACAGGTTCCTGCGCTGCACCAGTGCCAGCGTACAGGATTTAGATGTTCAGTGTGGGGACTTCTATTGTATGTCCCTCAGAGAACCTAGGTCTGTTAGGGGTCCTTCCTCCCTCGTGAATCAACGTTTGAAATATGTTGAGGGCAGCTTTAATACTGTTGGATATAAACCTCAATTTTATCCTGAAACATTAGCAGATGCAAGTTACAGCCCTGGATAGCAGCAAGTTACTGGGACCAGTAAATTTTTGTCTCTGAGCCTTCCACTCCTTCACGTGGGAATGACTTTGAATCAAGCTCGATTACTTAGGAGTGGTGATGAAAGGTTTGGATCAATAAGGAGAAAATGTCTTTCATCAATCACCCATTTTTACTAGTAAGATGACAGTTTCTCCAGGTTGGCTATGAAGGCTGTGTAAAACTAACACTTTGATTTGTGGCGTTAGGATAGAAATCATACTGCCTGAGAGGTCTGCCTGTCAGTGGCAGTTCTGTGTGATTTTATTCTGTATCATAAATTCTAAATACAACTTTTGTGTTATTTTTACTTTAAAAATGGATTTTTTACTTTAAGTTTTTAACGAATGTTTATGGTTGGTGTCAGTGTTTAAAAGTGATAAATCTGGACTGATTTGCTGTCTTTCATATTTTCTCAAATGCCTTAATTTTCTGTATTTCTACTTCTGCCAGCCCTTTAAAAAGAAGCAAACAGTTATGCGTGCCAGTAATCAAATATTGCCTACTGTCTGTTAGCTTTTGCTTCTCTCAGTCCTTTTCATTGTTTAGACTTCTTGGACAGAAATTCTAAGATTGGCGTCTTGATTCTTTAAATGCAGACAAATGTTAATCGTATCACTTAATGCATTCCAAGAAGGAAGTTGGATAAAATGGCAACGAGCATAATAGAAAGTACTATAAGAAAAAAATAGGAAAATGACTGGAAACTCAGGAGGTGCATTGACTTTAAAGAGGCTTATACTTGTTTGGAGAACTGTCATTTACAACAATACCCAACGCACGGAAGGCTGAAATCTCACGTTTGAAGGATCCTTCAACTCCTATATGTGTGAAGTTGGAGGGTTAATATCTGAATAGACTAGTAAAATATAAGTGTATTATTTAGAAGGTTCTAAAGTAAGTTGTAATACTAAACATTGAAAACTCTCTGCTGTAGATTAATAGCTATTGTGTACACTGTTTCTAAATTATATCCAAATTTAAACCTTTGTAGACTTTTCCCTACTGGCTTGTTTGAGATCTTCATTGATATTGGACATTATGTGCGTGATATCAGTGCTTATGAAGAGTTGGTATCAAAGTTAAATTTATTAAAGGTAGGTAAAAACCTGCATACCTTTAAGAAGCTGTATTCTTTGCACATTCTTAGCACAAGAAAGGCATGAAATATTTTATATTTGTTTATTTATAATTTAATTTATAACCAGGAGGATGAATTGAAGCAAATTGCTGAAAATATTGAGAGCATGAATCAGAACAAGGCACCCACAAAGCACATAGGCAATTATGCAATTTTAGAGCACCTTGGCAGCGGAGCTTTTGGAAGTGTATATAAGGTAAACTTCCCTTTGATATTAATTTGCAGGTCTGAGAGGAGGCTTCAGGAAGAGGGTCTAATGCCTCTTTTAGGCACTACCATGCTTTGCATTTCAGTAGGGGAATGCGTGTGCAAAAAGACCTTTTTTAGTATTTACCGTTATTTTTTTGATTGTCCCCTCTTGTATTTATAAGATTGGCCAGTGTATCTTTCAGGTTTCCTGCTTTTACTTTCATTTAACTCCTTTCCACAAACAGCATTTCTGTCTATTGCAAATTTTACCAAATCTATGTAAAACCACAGAGATTCAAGCATGTTTTGTCCCAAAAGCAACACTGGGCACAGGGAATGTTACTCCAAACACTGTGGCAAGTTCAGCAGTGTACCACTAACCTCTACTGTGGGGCCCCAGTTCTTTTGGCTTGTTACACCATACACAGGAAAAGCTGTGATTGTAACTTCTGTGAGACAGGTTTGAACTCTAATAACTAATCTGGTAGCCATAATAATATCCTTTCTATCCTCATTCTATATTAATTTTACAAGGGTTTTATCTTTTTTGATAGGTTAGAAAGCATAATGGACAAAATCTCCTTGCAATGAAAGAAGTCAATTTACACAATCCAGCATTTGGAAAGTGCAAAAAAGACAGAGACAGTAGGGTAAAGAACATTGTCTCTGAATTAACCATCATCAGAGAGCAGGTATCTCTTGTGGACTCTACTTTTATGTATGGGCATTATGCTGTTAGCATTATTAACTGAATTCTTGTATGTAAAGCTAACCGGTGGAAAAGGATCTAGGGGTGTTGGTTGACAGCTGGGTGAATATTGAGCTAATAGTGTGCCCAGGTGGCCAAGAAGGCCAAGACCATCATGGCTTGTACCCGGAACAGTGTGGCCAGCAGGACTAGGGCAGTGATTGTCTCCCTGTACTGGGCACTGGTGAGGCCACACCTCAAATCCTGTGTTCAGTGTTGGGCCCCTCACTACAAGAAAGACATTGAGGTGCTGGAGCGTGTCCAGAGAAGGGCAACAGAGCTGGGGAAGGGTTTGGAGCACAAGTCCTGTGAGGAGTGGCTGAGGGAATGAATGGGGATTGTCTAGTCTGAAGAGGAGGAGGCTCAGGGGAGACCTTATGGCTCTCTACAACTACCTGAAAGGAGGTTGCAGAGAAGTGGGTGTTGTTCTCTTCTCTCAAATAGCAAGTGATGGGACAAGAGGTAATGGCCTCAAGTTGCACCAGGGGAGGTTTAGACTGGTTATTAGGAAATTTCTTCACCGAGCGGGTTGTCAGGCATTAGAGCAGGCTGCCCTGGGAAATGGTTGAGACAGCATCCCTGGAGGTATTTGAGATGTGTGGATGAGGTGCTCAGGGACATGGTTCAGTGGTGGACTTGGCAGTGTTAGGTTAATGGTTGGACTTGATGATCTTAAAAGTCTTTTCCAACCTAAATGATTCTGTTTCTATATAGCAGGGCTTCCAGGTGCTGGGTTTTTTTTTTTTCTGATTAGTAAAATAGTAACCCCTTTGACCTGAATGCTGCCAATACTGAAAACCTTCACACTGTAGTGTTAGCAGCAGTGCAAATGCTTGTTACTAAAGGGTCTTACTTTCTGTATTGGCAGTATCTGAACTTTTATCAGGGATTCCGTAAGTTAAGTTTGTGATAGAAAACTGATGAGTCTTTGTTCCATTTAATGAATTTTTGGGTTTAAAATGCAATGAGATGTCTTTTTCGTAATTGAAAATTAAAAAGCCAGACTGATCATTAGTGTTCTTAGGCTAAGAAAGCCAATACTTTGATGCTGGTGTAATTGCTTGTCTTCAGGCTTCATTTACTCTCATTCAGTTTTTAAGGAGAGAGTGGATAGGAATCATGCTGTATTTTCCTCCTGGGTGCTCTAGTAATGTGCAACATTTCTCTGTGTTTGGGGTAGCAGTGAAGGTCTACTGCACTGCAGTTCATAAGTGAGTTTGTCAGATCCTTGAGGAATCCTTCCTTCCAATATTTGGCTAAACTTTATAAATAATGTGCCATCAGTTTAACAATTCTAATCATCTACGTTTCTTTCCTCATTGTAGCTTTATCATCCAAATGTTGTACGATATTACAGAACCTTCTTGGAAAGTAAGTATAAATGGAGAGAATTACTTCATTGTACATAATGAAGAAACAGAAATGGATAATAAAACAACTTACAGCTTAGAAGGAATGTGTCAAATTTGAGCATTAAATGGTAATATTTTCTTCGAGAACTGCTGTAATTCAAACAGGCTTATATGCCTTTAGAATTGAAAAAAAAGATAAATAATATTTCTATTTGTTTATCAGTAAAACTAGATGCGGTATAAACATGTAGAAAGCATCATTCTCATCCTGTAAAAATCTACCTGGATTTACAACTGGAATGCTGAGTAAGGACAAAAGCTATAGTGACTAGTAGCATGAATAATATAGATTGCTGAGCCATATTCTCTTAATTTTCTTTTTTATAAAGAGCTAGCTATGTACACCTGCACACTGAATATCAGGCTCTGAATTCCTACTATAGTTGCTGTGTTATAAATTGAGAAAAAAATGGAATAACAAGGAGTAGAACTATGATTAAAATGTGTTTGTACAAATGTTTTTAAAAAGTAAAAAATATCAGCTTTTAAAATATATTTTAACCTCAGATTTTATTTTCAAATGCCTTATGTATAAATGTAATGTTCTATTAATTATTTTTCTTTTATGTAGATGACAGATTGTACATAGTCATGGAGCTCATAGAGGGAGTGCCATTGGGACAACACTTACACTCCTTGAAGGAAAAGCAACAATATTTTACAGAAGAAAGAATATGGCATATATTTATCCAGGTAAGGGCCTCTCTGATTTTTCTTACCAGGACTTTCCTGTATGCAGTTAGTAGCACTGTTTATGCTTGTTTGGCTAATAAATGACAAAAAGTAATGTTTATTATATAAGGCAGTAATCTCAGATAAAAGTTTAACTTTGTGTACCTTTTTTGGAGTTGTAGTTATGAACCTTTGTAAGGCTCTTTGTGTTTGTTTTTAAGCTTTGTCTAGCTCTTCGTTATTTGCATAAAGAGAAAAGGATTGTTCATCGAGATCTCACTCCGAACAATGTCATGCTGGGGGATAAAGACAAGGTTACAATTAGTAAGTAGAACTACTTTACTTGAAGAAAATTTCCATGATGTACATGAGTAGGATTTCTTTACTGAAACTCTCAGAAGGTTTCAGATTCCTGGTCATTGCTCACCGTACTTGGAAGCTTGTAAATTATTGCATTATTATACTGTTGTGTAAAATAATTGCTAATGCAAATTTTATGATCATTACCACCAGGTGTCATCAGCCAGGACTATTTTTTGCATCTATATATGTCAAATACGATGGAGGCGATGATTTAGACTTTAAAAAAATTGAACTATAGTTATGCTCCAAGGCTTCCCCCCCCAGGCTTTTGATTATCTTCAAAAATATCGAGATAACCAGATTAGTTAACAACTGCTGAAGAACATACACTGCGGCCATCTGTTCTATTCCAGTTCTACCATTCAATTGTTGAGTACTCATCAGCTGTTCCCAGTGATCTGCTGCAGCAAGGTGCTATTTGTCTAAGCCTGTAGTAGTAAATATTCTTGATGTATGCTTCTATAATCTCCATAGTGTGGAGGAAGGAACCTTGGCAGGTTTCAGGGTAGACTTTGAAAGCAGTATATATGTGAACAGTGCAAAATATGATGAAGTTTTACCCCTTGAGTGCATTAATACAACCTGGTACACACGGCAAGCCTTACAGGCAACCATAGTTTTTAAAGTTCTCAAAGAACGGCTGCACGCTTTCTTACTGCTCGTGACATGGAATGAAATAAACAATTTGCATACTGCAGAATTGTTCTGAGAAGTCTTGATGCAAAAATCAATCTTTCTTCTTTAAAACTAACAGGGAAGTGTAGACATACTCACACACCCTTCCACAGAACACTCAGCTATCATAAGCAAATGTATTTAGCAACCATTGTTTTATAGTAAATATTTATACCTGATGATGTACATAAATTAATTCATTATTAAATTATATGTGCCAGAAAACTCTGATTCTTAGTATGATACAGTTTTGAAAGAAGGTGATTTAATGGAGCATTTGGCCTTGAGTGATGAAAATAAATATTCAGAATATTATTTTAAAGTAAAGTATCATATAGTAGTATTTTATATCAATGTACTGCCACTGAGGGGCACCCTTGTCTTGATTTAACACCTTTGCCTTATCTCTGGTCCAACCTACCTATAAAGAAGTGCAAATAGACTTTCAAATCTAAGCTCAAAATTACCCTTGAAAAACATTTGTATTTCTGACCAAGACTTTATTTTGAGGAAAAATGGAAGAACTGAAACTTACCTTGATCATTTCTACTGTGACTGGTTTGAAACTATTGCAATATTTAAACAAACACATACTTTATTTAGTACTTTAATACCAGTGTACCTTGAATTTTCAGAGGGAGCCAAAGACCTTTTGTGTATTACTTCTGAATTTTACTGAGCCTTATTGTTTTACAGCCTTAATGAAATTAAGAATGATCTACTTTCTTTCTGATGATAGTAAATAGATACTGTATTGATGCATGCTGCGGTATCGTGCCTAACTCCTACAGTCCATGTATGCCAAAGACTGGAGCATTTGTGATCTTGATAATTATATCTTGTGCTATCATTATATATATATTATATATAAGTATACCAGCCATTTGAAAATTTCAAGTGGTTCTAGACGAAAGTTAATACAAAATGTCAGATGAATGTGGAAGTGTATGTTCAAATATTGAGCAATCTTAAATCTGCCTCTGCTGTGAATTTAATCTGTCAGCTTTTATAAAAGGAGAGGGTCTGCCCTAAGATCCACTCAGAATTGTAGTTCTGTGTTTATAAGCTGCAGAGTCATCCTAAAGACAATGTTTAATTTTCTGGAGTCTTTCAAATCTCAAAACTCTCTAAAACGTGTCTCTAACTAGAGTAATATTCCCATGGACTGCCCGTGAAGTGGTGTTGTGCGACTGTGTAATTAAGATATCGCCTCTAATGGTCCCAGCTGTTTTGCCTTATAAAAGAAACTTGTATATTTTACGATGCTGCTCTTTTATATTTTCCTCAGTCAGTCCTACAGGAAATAGTAACTCCTGTTAATCTTTTACTGTGAGAATATGCAGACTGACATTATATTACAGGCAGCTTATACCTCTGTTACTAGTGTTCTTCAGATACGTTGTCTTGGAAAGGTGCCTTAGCTTCAGGCTCTCATGGTACATTGTGATTTAAAAAAAAAGAGTGAGCAATACTCTGTTCCATATTGCTTCTATAGACTAAGACTTTTTCTGTACTGCGCGTGGCTAGGCAGCAGCCCCAACAACTAACTGCTTTAAGAAAGTTCTAGGACCCACGGGTAGGCGTTTCTCACCGCTTACATGAGAACTGAGCCACTCACGTTCCAAATCCCATGAAGACCTCTCATACGGTTTCTGAGTTTGCGTTGGTCGAAAAGGAAAGGAGTGCATAATGTGGGAGACATTCCCAACTGGCTGTCAGCACAGAAAAAAATAAACCTGCTAGAGTTATGCTTGCTTGTCCTGAATTTGTGAGGAATTGTAGAACAATTCCAGCAGAACTTGGTAGGCAGGAGCCTATGGTTAAATGTGGCTGAAAACTAGAATTCATACAGGCAGCGAACTCTGCAAGTGGCCTGGCACGATGTAAGATTAAGCTATGAGGGGCCTTTTCTAGATGTGATCTCTGATTATCATCTCTGTAGGTATTACGGAAAAAAGAATGTCTTCCTAATAGTAGGAAGACTTTTTTAATCTGTATATTTCTTTTTCTTAAATACTGAGTGTGATTAGACATTGCCTTTATACAGATCTTTGTTCATTGTTTTCTTTTTAAATGTATGCAAGATACAAATGAGAAAATCCTGAGCCTGGGAGGTGCTTCATTCTAGTGAGAAGATTATATAACATCCCCCTATGACATCTTTTAAACATGGCAGTTAAATCTGAATTATCCCAATCTTTTTCAGGCTCTTTTAAGTTGTCTGTTGTTGCAAATGGAAAAGACATTAACAATCTGATCCTAGCCAGGCTAGTGGTGAGATACGATCTCTGTTTCTGACTGTAGAGAACTTCAAGCATGCTGTTGTTATGTAGTCTCTGGAACTGCCCACCCTACTCATTAGTTCTGTTTCATCTCTGACATAAATTTGATAGGAAGGGGGCCATAACTGCCATCTTTACATGTTGGTACAGCTTTTAATCATAACTGGTTGAGCTACAAATGCCATGAAAATATAAATATTAAATCATGATAACCTGCAGTTTCATAAAACATCTCACTCTAATAAGTAGAAAAGTGTCACTGAAATTTTACATCTCTGGTGAGGTTGAATGTCTGATTTATAATTTCTGACACACACAAAAAACCTAGAATTTTAGGCACGGCCTGAATGAAACTTGTATTCTCTAGTGATTTAAAGAGTCATTGAACCAATACTATGTGTGTCTCTCATTTTAATCTGCCCAGCGTTTTTATATAAGACACTGGGAAGTTAGTTTTCTGAATTTAAAATGTGTAACTGCTCTTATTGCAGCTATTTTTTTCTGCAGCTGTATTTTGTTTCTAGCACAGCATATTTCTGTCAGAGCTCCATAGCTGGGTCTGTCTGTAGGACACAACAGAAGACTCTGTATATCATCCCTTTTCCTCAGCATCATCTAGTTGCAGCGAGGTTTAGATCCCAATGGTCAAAGAGGGCCGTGTGGAATCACTCTGACACCTTTCAGGACTGGTACCAAGGAGAATCATGAAGGGTTCTATATGCTCTTTTGTGTGGCATGCTCTGTTTAATGTTTAGTACAAGTGATAACAATAGCAACAGAAAGGCTCTGCATGGATCTGAAAGCTAGGATTATATAGCAGCAGAATACTAGTTTTCTAACAACTCACGTGTCTGATATACTTCTAGTCATAGCAGTCAGCCATGAACTGTCAGAACGGTGAAGCAAATGAGACTTTAAAAGTTCAAATAGTTGCTGAGTCCTGGCAGAAAGCTACCTGTTTTTTTGTAATTCAGAATACTTGCTTGTTGAGTGCACTTCTGGAAAGACGTGTTGCCTCCTGATTCCGTGCCATCCCCAGAGAAGCAGTGGCCATGAGGTAAAGTAGATATAACTAGTGTCTGTTGTGTTAGTCACTACTTTTCAAAGTCAACTGAATCAGTGCTAGGTTTTTTTGCAGATTATATGGCTCATTTAACCAGTCTTTAGGCATTTCCTTGATTCTTCGTATGAAGTACTTCATTTTCAAAGCTTCCGTAATAGGCTGAGTGGAATTTTCTGCTTGTTTACATTCATGCTGTAAATAATTCTGGATGATATCGGAGGATTTATAGCACAATCACATCTCTCTCTACAAATCTCAGTTCTAGATGTGGATCAATGCTCAAGTTCTTAGTGCAGAAGTTACAAGGTTCACAAAAATGAGATGTAGTAGCCTGAGTTTATGCAGCATTGATATTGGCACTTAGAAAGGAGAACGATAGAATAGCCAAAAAGGTGTATTTGGGAATGATGAGAAATTAACTTTATCCCCATTCTATTGATGGAAAAGAGTAGAATAAGTATGTACAGCTGTTGATTAAATTGAAGAATATTTTGATTGTAGGATATGCTTTTATGGAAAATAAAATTGAAGTTCTTGTGTTACCTTCCAGATCACTGTAACTCAGTAAGTTGTTGATAAGCTTTCTTGATTATGGGTGTAAGCTTGCTGAATAGAAGCAAAATGATTTTGTCTCATCCTGAGCCTTTCAGAGTAGAAGCAGCAGCTGTTCAGTGGGGATAAAGTGAAAATGTGACCTCCAATTTTGCTTTGCTTTTGGTCTTTGCATGCATATTTGATTTTAGGAAAAATTAATGATGTTTTCAAATAACCTTCAAACATAAATGAAGGCAACAAAAGTGCAAATATGAGATCAGTGTTGTTACAACGTGGTATCTGGAAAATTTTACTCTTGTTTTTACTGCGGAAGATCAATCTACAAGGTGAAATCTTTTGGAAATAAAATGACAAATGAAAACCAAGATGATTTCAATAAGAAGAGAAAAAAACCCACTGCATGTAGCTAAAATGTTCACTTAAAGAGACTGCTAAGATCAAAAAAGTTTTTCTAATTCAGCTATTATGAAAATTGAAGAGATCATTCTGTAGGAGGTTAAGATACTAAGCAAGTCAGCCTACTCATTTTTTCATAGTTCTCTCTTCTCTTCATTCCTTCTTCCCCAGCATGTTAATATTTTCTGAAACAACCTTACTTCATTATCACTTACTCTGCTACCCTAAACACAATGTAAACAAGTGAAAAGAAGTGAAGAAGGGTGTTTAGGAATCATATTTCATAAAGGATTATGACGGCATCGTTTTGTGTTAATTTTTATTCCTATTGGAGGACTGGTTTGCATGTTTTTTGACTACTTTTTAATGAAGTTAAAAAAACCAAACCAGCAAAAAATTTAGTTTTCTAAATTCATGATATATAGACGAAAAAACCCTCAAGGCTTAATGTTTACGATCACAGTACAAAATGTAGTAAAATATAATAATACTGTGGAGAGATAAAACTATTTGTAATGAATTGCTGGTGAAATTGCATGTCTAGTCATAGTTTATAAAGATCCATCTAACGGGAAAAGTTTGTTAGTTTTCTACTGTCTTTCAACAGACAAAAATAATCTTTATCTTCAATGAAGGATGCCAAGCTTCCAACCATTGGAGAAATTAGCTGTAAAGAGATTATGTCAGTTGAGGTTGCACAGTTGACAAAGCACCAAAAACTATTGCCATGAAAATCTTATTTTATAGAACTTGCTTGCTAGGTTGATGTACCTATCATTCCCCTCAGTTTACAGACTGTCATGTATTAGGGTGTTACAATAACTTGTGGTGGTGACGCGCATGTAATTCACATGAACCTGAAAGATTTATAGTAGTGATTAAATCCAGATAAATTGTCATATTTTCAAAATGACATGTGTAGTTGAAAACAACCATTATTTTGCAGCAACAGACTACTCTCTTTTTGGGCAGGTAGATGGATCCTTCCACTGATGCTATTAAAGCTCCAAGACTGCTTCCTCATGGAAATGTCATCTACTAGCATTTTGATTTTTCTTCATGTGTACCACAAAACAGCTATTCTTTCTTTTAGTGTTGGTCCAAAAGGGGTAATTTTTACTTTTCAGGAAAGCAGGACAATCTAAGTCAAATGAGGGGATTTGATATTTTGGGAGATGAGGAGGTTGCCTCTCTAATGCCGATTTTATTCCTGCATTGCAAGACTACAGAGGGCAACAAGAATTCCCTGAAGTGGTAGATAATTCACTGATTGTAGGACTGCAATGTCATGTCTGGGACTAGATTAAAAGCAGCATGAAACTAGCCTCAAAAAAGGGTGAGCTAAACACATCAAGATACTAGTGCCAGATGAGCTGGTTTCCAAAGGCAGAGCAAGAGAAGGGCAGGACTTTTTTTTTTTCTTTCTTTGTGGCAGAGGTTTACTAGTTCATCTTTCTCATAGTCTTGTTCTGAATCACTAAGATGGTGTTGTGGTTTAATGCCAGACAGCAACCGCACAGCTACTCGTTCACCTCCTTCCTCCCCAATGGGATGGGGAGGATAATCAGAGGAAAAGAAAAGGGAACTTGTGGGTTGATATAAGATCAATTTAATAATTGAACTGAAATGGAATAAAATAGTGAGAGCAATAGTACTTAATTATACTACTACTACTAATAATATGTAATGAAAATAATGGAAAACAAATGATACAACTGCTCGCCACCTGCCAACCAACACCCAGCCTGTCCCTGAGTAGTGAGGGCCAGAACAAATCTGAGAGACAGTGAGTGACCCCTGGCCCAGCCCCCAACCGATATACTCAGCATGATGTTTTATGGCATGAATTATCCCTTTGCTCAGTTTGGGTCAGCTGTCCAGGTGTGTCCCTGCCCAGCTTCTCTACAAGAAGCCTCAGAATCAGAAACTGAAAAAGTCCTTGGACTGACACAAACATTGCTTAGCAACAACTAAAAACATTAGTATGTTATCAATATTCTTCTCAGCACAACCAATACATAGTCTCATACTAGCTACTGTGAGGAAAATTAACTCTGTCCCAACTAAAACCAGCACAAATGGGTTTATAATTTCCCTTTGGATGGACTGATGCAGCATGCATTTTTGCATCTTAATGCTGGATGGGCCTGCCTGCCTTCTCCCTTCTCCTGTTTTGTGTTCTCTCTTTGACTTTGTCCTTACCAGACTTTGTTTTGTTTCACCCGATTTTGTGGTTTACAAAGCTTTCACTGGCGATCTCAGCATGACTCTCTATGGCTTTGCTTTTCCATTTTTCTCTGGTGACCTTTATTTTAGTGATAGTTATCATGATGATGTCAGCATCGATACAATTCCTTCAGCCATACTCACAACACTTTGGTTAATTGGTAGGTTGCTTTTTTGTGTGAGAATGAAGATGTAGGAAGATATTTGGAAGCTTTAAGTTTTGTATTTCATTCTGAAATTGGTGAGACTTTAGATCAGATGCATCTGCATTCATACACAAATGTGTGAATGGGTTAGGTCTAGCTTCTGAGGAAGGGCCCATTCCTGTGCTTAAGAGCTATTTCTGAATACTTTGTATAGCACCGGGTGAATTAACTGTAGTAACTTGAGATGGTTCAGGAAGAATACTTTCTTTAATAAATAGGATCTTGAGTTTCTGGAGTGACCAATAAGATCATAGCATAAGAATCATTAGATCAGTTCAAAGATTTATGTAGGTATGTGTCTCTGCTAAAAGCTGGCACTTGGTTAAAGTTCATCAGAAGTTGAGTAAGTATTGAGTTATATTCCGTTCCACTTTCTATAAGACATACTGCTATGGCATGAATCTGTTTCAGGGAATTGCCAAATATGAATTGTTGCAATGGGTCCTCTTTAATCAAGCCTCAGTTCACAGATAAAACAATGAATATGAGTTAACAGGGGTTATCCTTATAGTTGGTCATATCTTTCTTTAATGGTAGGGGAGGCAGGCCAGATTCTCAGAAATTATTACCTTTTTTTTTTTGTTTGTGTTTTTTTTTTTTTTTTGTTAGTTATTGTAACAACTTTTGGCATCAAATACCAAATAAAGGATCCTGGAGTAACAAAAGTGGTAGACCAATTTATAAACTGAAGAGAGAAGCTTAAATAAATTTAAAGAAGCAATTTCACTAGTTTGATGCAGTTCAACATTTGCAAGTTCCTTTTCATTCAGTTCTCTGTTATGGGCTTGAAAAAGCTAAGAAAAAGTGTTCGCTTCATGTAAAGCTGAGTGTCCTGTGCTTTACATTCCTTACCTCTGGCAGCACCGCTTTCATTTAGGAGCTTCTTGAACTTTAGCAGAATTTGGAAAAAGGTATTTCCTGTGAAACGAGCTGGGTTTTTTTCCCCTCTGTTTCTGAGAACCTGAGCCTAAAAGAAAGAGAATATATTTACTCCATCTGGCTGATCCTTCCCTTGCTCTTTTTTCCAGATCACTAATGTTGTATTAAAATAGACTACTTCTTCCAGAACAGACATGTCCAGCTCTCCTCTTTCCTAAATCATTCAAGCACCAAGAGGCTGAATTTATTGATCGATGTGTTGTCTTAATACTTTTTCTTCATAGAATATTATGTGCAGGATTTCTGAGGAGGGAATTTATAGCAATTCACCCCATTTAGTTCAGGGAAATATCAACACTGCAAAATCCTCTGCTCCTTTTGGGATTAATATTAGCTGGAGTGAACTGCTAGAGGAATGTCTTAACTCAAGGACAAAAGGGAGGCTTCTCAGGCATCCTGTTAATTTAACATTCTTTCTGCTTATGTTTTCCAAGCACTGCAGAGTTAGTCCTTCTTTGAACGTTTTGTTCAAAGAAAAATGATCTATGGCTTGGGTACCTAGACTTGGCTTTCTTATCAAAGGCCCTTTCTGAATAAGAGGACTACTCCTTTTCAGACCCTTGAGGCTCACATTGAGAAAGAACTAACAGAAATTAATTTTTATTACCTGTGTTTCTTCTGATCTGCAGCTTTTTATGAGTCCAAACATTTTGAACTAAAATCTTATGAACTACCTTACTGTTAAAACAATTGGAATAGGAATGCTAAGGGCTCTGTCCAAGTAGGAGAGGAGTCTTACATTTTTTTTAAACAATATTATTTACCACACAGATCTTCCCAATGCTGAAGTAGTAATACAAAGCAAATTTTAATAACAGACTTTAACAAGTACAGTGATTTTTTTTCTTGCTCCTTTGTGTTTGGATTTAATAAAGTGTGTGACACTTGGATTTAAATAGTGTGTGACAATTTTGTGAAAGAGTACCTGATAATTACACAAAAGGCACTTATTAACTTAATTGCAAGATCATCTAAATCTACAGATTTTGTCACTAGATAAGGCTCAGATTCACCATTATTTCTCACCAAATGCAATCTTTGAACATGAACTATTGAGATGTTAGATCCCCCTGTACTCCTTTGAAATTAATTTTCTGACAAAGTCCACCCTTCCCAGCTATCATAATTTGAAGGAAAGTGAAGTAATTACTAACTTCATTACATTATTTTTTTTCTATTAATTTGGGCATTAGATCACTGCTTATTAGATACCATTGTCAGGCAGTTGATTGGAATATATTAATAGCAATCTGAAACTGGTCATGTATGTTGGATTGAAAGCATCAGAGGTATGTTTATAATATTTTTAAAGCCAGTAGGCCTGATTCAAGCATAAGTTGTTGATTACTGTGGAGATGGGAAGATAGCATGCTCCATTACTGGGAAATGTAAAAGATAAAAACTCAAACCTCCCTTCCACCCTCCCCCAACTTTTCAGCTGCTGCAAACCAGCACTGATTGTCATGCAAAGACGATGGTTATTGAATCTTTTTTTCTTTATTGTAGCTGACTTTGGGCTTGCAAAGCAAAAGCAAGAAAACAGCAAACTTGCATCAGTAGTGGGAACCATTCTATACTCATGGTAAGTACTCCTGCGTACAACATTCATTCCAGTGACTTCCATCCTCATGGTTACTTTTTTGGAGCAGCCAGACAAGTTACGATGGAGTAAGGAACAAAGTGCAAGTACTTACCCACTGTCATCGGTCAACCCCAGCCAGCATCTATGTGCACCACACAGCCATTCACTCACCTTTCCCCTCCCTCCGTGGGATGGGGAAGAGAATCGGAGGAAAAGGCAAGAAAACTCATGGGCTGAGATGAGAACAGTTTAATAATTGAAAAGAAATGAAAGAAAATAAAATAATGTTACTAATAATGCTAACAATACTACTACTAATATATGATGAACATACTACTACTACTATGTAATGAAAATAATGGGAAAAAAACCCACCACCGCCCCCCCCCCTGCGGCCCACCACAAAGCCAGTCCCCAAGCAGTGAGAGCCAGAAAGTGAGAGAGAGACCAAGCCAGACCTGTGGCACACCCACCCAGCTTATATACTGAGCATGGCATTTTACGTAATGAAATGTCCCTTTGTTCAGTTTGGGTCAACTGTCCTGGCTGTGTCCCCTCCCAGCCTCTTGCAGAGAAGAACCTGGGAACACAGATGCAATATGAGAAACTGGAAAAGTCCTTGACTTGATATAAACATTGCTTGGCAACAACTGAAAACATTAGTATGTTATCAATATTCTTCTCGGTACAACCAAAACATAGCCTCATACTAAAAACATCAGTGTATTATCAACATTCGTCTTAGCACAGATCCAAAACATAGCCTCATACTAACTACTGTGAGGAAAATTAATTCATCCCAGCCAAAATCAGCTCACTCACCCACTGCTACTCTGCAGCTGTCGGTTGCTTGCCTATTTTGCTGTTACCTGTTCTTGCACATGGCAGGTACTGTGGGTTAAGTTGGTGCAAAAATGAAGTAACTGCGGTTGTGTAGTAACTTATTCATGTCTCGAAAACATATTTCTTCATCTATAAGGATACAAAGTTTTAAAAATATATATGTAAGCAATATAAAGCAATTTTAATGTCTTTTAATGTGATTGTGGCTCTCATGTTCTGTTACATTGTTTGTGTGGACAACTTACCTTCTGAAAAATATTTGAACATGGTGCTAGTGGATTTGTTTTGGATCGATGGGCATTTGGTTTTAATAAGTGAACTGAAAAAAATATTTTCTGAAGTTTGAAAGTGGTGGAAAAGCATGACACACATTGTTTGCAATTTAAGCTTAGTAAATGCATAAAAGACTAGAACTTTTTGCCTTAGACAATACATTATTCAGTCTGCTGAATGAGCTGCAGTTTCCTTTGGCATTCCTCAAGTCAAAGTGAGGAACCATATTGCATTAAATTGCAGTACCATTATAGTTACCTTCATTCCTAGATTAATACTGCCTTGTCTTTTGTTTTCTCAGGAGCATGGCATGGAAAGCATTTCCTAGCCAAAACGTTCCTCTCGATATGCGAACAATGTATGTAATTGCGATCATTATATGCATGTCAGGTTCTCTCAAACAAAAGTAATTGTGAGCAGGACAGGGTATTGATTTTTGCGTTGCATGATGTATAAATAACAGACATGCCTGTGAAATGAGGTTACTGTATTGTGAACAAAAGAGAGCAGCAAATGTAATCTGGGTAAAAATCTGAACTGTGGAAAACACAGGCTCCGTACTCATCTAATAGCGGTTGATATGTTCTGGACTGACATTTAGGCTGAAAATTCTGTTGATTGAAATGCTAACATCAGAAATCAATTAAGGAATTCCTGATCTGTGCCACAGTTCTGTATTTCTCTCTTTGTTAGCAGAATTATCGCTTAAGCTTTGCCTGCCCTAAGTATAGCTTTATTAGGGAAATATGTTTACGATATGTTCACCCGAAGCCTTGCAGATGCAAGTACTCCTCATTCCTGCACGGGCTTGTTCCACATTCTTTGCAATACCTTTTTACATCTAGCTCCTGTTCCCTCTCAACAGAGTCACTGTTTCTTCTACTCAGTGTCCAGCTTTCTGGAGTCAGAAGTTGGTGGTTTTGTTTTAGGGACTTTCTGGTGGTCTTGTTCCCACTACTATAAATTGTCAGTTCTAGCTCCTGTAAATCAAATAGTTTATTTGGCATAGGGAATAGAAAAACTACAGTCAATGACACATAAACAAACCAATGTTACACAGCATGCAGTCTTTAATATTGTTTTCTGTTTTCATCAGAATTTTTAATTTACAAAATACCTACCAATAAGGAGGAAAACATGACAGAACATTATATCCTAAGTAAAAGTGCAGGTGATTTCATCCTTAATTTCTTATAAGACCACTGCCCTGGCTGGGGCATGGACAGTATTCTATGCAGAAGTTCACAGGCCTTTTTGATGTCAGTCATCTTCAATCTTCTTTTCTGCTGTGTTGACCACGTTATGGCCATATACTTGCTAGAACACGTGGCCAGTATGCTTGTAATAAGTAATTAAAGGTTTCAGGCTAGCAGGGGAGCTTCTGGTGCCTCTTCTGAATGAAAAAGGTGATTGAAGAAATGCAGGCCTTATACAGTTGAATATAATTTATGTTGCCACTTTTGTAGTTGTTACTTGTGAATTCCTAGTGCCAGAATGATAATTTACACTTAGTTCCTAGAAATTGCTAAATCCTAAAATGGCTTGAAGAGTGAGTTCTTGTAATGTTTTAAATATTCAAGTCTCATACCTTGTCAACTAAGGCATATGCTGCTGCTTAGTGAGCAAAAGTAAGGTGATTTCAAGGCTGCCTTAATTGGTTCCCCAAATATTCCTGAAGCCTAGCACAGTCTGAGAGTGATGCTGTACTTGGTTTGTGTGGCAAGGTTTTGGTTGCAGGGAGGCTCAGGGGTGGTTTCTGTGAGAAGCGGCTAGAAGCTTCCCCTGTGTCTGATAGAGCCAATGCCAGCCAGCTCCAAGTTGGACCTGTCGCTGGCCAAGGCTGAGCAGAGGTTCCCTGGCAGCCCGTGGTGCAGACCATGGTGAGAGGGCAGACTGTGCCTCTGCAGCCATGGAGGGTCATGGGAGAGCAGAGTCCCACCTACAGCCCAGGGAGGGCTCCACACCAGTGCAGGGGGATGTGCCTGAAGGAGGCCGTGACCCCATGGGGGAAACCCAGGTTGGAGCAGGCTGCTGGCAGGAGCTGTGGCCCCGTGAAGAGTGGAGCCCAGGCTGGGGCATGGTTGCTGGCAGGGCTTGTGGGTGGAGCAGGCTGCTCCTGAAGGATGGGACCCACACTGGAGCAGTTCATGAAGAACTGTAGCTCATGAGAAGGACTCATGTTGGAGAAGTCCATGGAGGACTGTCTCCCATGGAAGGGACCCCATGCTGGAACAGGGGCAGAGTGTGAAGAGTCCACCCCCTGAGGAAGAAGGAACAGCAGAGACAATGTGTGATGGACTGACCACAGCATCTATTCCCTACCCTCTTCTTTTACTTAGAATCCCAGAATGGTTTGGGTTGGAAGGAACCTTAAATACCATCTAGTTCCACCCCCCCTGCCATGGGCAGGGATACCTTCCACTCGATCGCTTCTTTTTTTTAACTCTTAGATTATCTTGCTGATTTCTTTGGGTCTTTTCAAATGTTATAGGAAATTTTCATTTGTGATTATATTTCTGTAGATTTAAATATACTCTTTTAAAAAAATGGTTGCTAATTCCATTTATTATTGTTCTCATACCCTGTCTTCATATATGAAAGTTCACATTAGAGGTAGGACTTTGGCCTTTCTTTTTCTACCTCTTTGTCCAGTTATTTAGATGTAGGCTTGAGGATAAAATGTCACTTACTTGTTGCAGTCTCTCAGTAAGTGGTCTTTTGGGACATTACTTGGCAGTTGTACTCTACAGGCAAAATCACGGAAGCAGTGATCCTTGCCTGTCTGCAGTCAGAAAAGAGAACAAGGATACAGTACTGATGTCTTTGTATTTAAAAAGCATGCTTGAGTAATATTTAAAACGATAGGCTAAGACATTACGGTCTTTCCAATGTCATAATAATTGATGAATGTTAAAAAGGCTTTGCAAACAACTGAATGCACTTGATGCCACCTTCAAGGTACTTGGCTAGTACTGTGTGTGACAGTGGGCTTTTTGATATGGAAACTTGTTCCCGATGAATGAGGTGAACTGATTGCATATTTTAACACAGGCCATGAAGCAGAAGTCAGAGCCTATAGGCTTAATCAGTGCTTGGAGTAGATATTTCTGTGGTGTGTGTGTGGGTTTTTTTTTTTTTATTTTTTGATATGGTTTAAGTAGATATGAAGGGCTAAAAAATATTGTAAATATTGGGAATGAATATCTACCAAGAGCAGCAATATTAGTTCCTGCCCAAAAAAAAAAAAAAAAAGATGAGGAAGAGAAAGAGCTGTGAGACAGCAGTGGCAGAAATTGCTTTCTTCTGAATTGACAAGATAATAGTTCTGGGTAGTTTGAGATGCAACCCACCCTTCTTGGAGCAGGTAATATAGTACAGAAGCAAACTAATAAACATCAAATGGAGTGTCTGATGCTTATCGTTTAATTTGGCTGTGCAGCATTATGCAGAAGGGTTCAGATAGAACATATCACTGTATGTGCCAAACATGCTTGTATTTGGGTTGAGTGAATCAATTTGCTAATGCAATTTTTTAAAAACTGTGTCATCATAAAATAACAGCAGTGACTGTTTTATGTTTAGAGAGGGGCTTATATAATTATGCTCTGTAATTGTGATGGTTTTTAATTCTACTTCATACTAGGTTTTATTCCAATAGCATACTAATTAAATTCCTTTTAATTGGTTATGTTCTTGAATTGGAAATTCCAGCAATGTGTATGTTTAGAATACCAAATATATTAAATGGATGTGTTTACACTTAATACATTAAAAATTGAGGAAAAGACTGCTTTAGGGAGTTGATAATGAATTCTGAAGTCTTTTTCCAGTTCATAAGTCACCAGAAACAATCTGCTCCAAGTTAGTTGTGACAGTCTTTATTA